AAGCTTTTCACCTTTCGCTTTCTATTTTTCCCTTTGCATAATTGTATTTGATTGACCCACCTTGTATGCTTCACTCTAGCTTTGATTCTCTAGTTCTCTTTCATTTGTGTGTTTTACCCTATTTGGTTGAAGTCAACTGTACTAGCTAGTGAGCATATTGTGTATGTATTCTATTATTCCCCAAATTGCAAGAAATGCTTGTGAGATGACTAAAAGTTATAATGGGCTACAAATGCATGCACGACGAGGTATCCTTTCCCTCTTTAAATATATTCTAGAAAAAACTTGCTCCCAATGTGCATCAAACCCCTCAATGTTCCCCGCATATAGGCTGATACTTTTCTAGCAAGTGTATGTACTATTGTCCTATAAAAGTAGTTGCACTTTGGGAGCATGCCAATCATCTTGTGGCGAAGTGGGTTTTCAGACCTCTTAAGCAAATCTAGGTTCGTGTCATAAGTAAAACTCAGTATCCATATTTTCTTTAATAAATATCATAATTTCTTTTGAAAAGGTGGCACACTTTGATAGCCCTGATCCAATAGCCTTAGGACATGTCTAATGATAAGCTAATGTTATATATAAGAACTACATGTATATAATCAAGAGAGTAACTAATTAAAAACAACTCATATAGTAGATATTATATATATATATATATATATATATATATATATATATAGTTGTCTCTTGAACACACACACTACCCTCTCTCCCCCCACCATTCTCTCTCTCTCTATCTCTCTCTCTCTGTGTCCCTAAGAGAGCATGCGTAGAGTTGGTTCTTGTATGACGATTATTCTCACATTCTTTTTTCAATTCTCATCTTCCCTACGTATGAAAATTTACGACCCACAAACTTACAGCCAACTACTATTAGACGGTTCCTTAGAAATAAGGACATTCATACAGCCAAAAAGTTTCTTTTAGTCCCAACATTGACAAAGTTTTTATTATGATTAATCTATTAGAATATATACTCAACTGTACTTATGTTCATCTTACGGCAATAGACGGGGAACCTTGTTGTAGGTACCATATGCCATGTGTTGAAATCCCTCCAATTATTCAGCCATCAATACAACCCCCTCCAAAGTTGAAAGGATATAATTGAATATTTCAGAGTTAATATGATTGAGGGTCTTTTAATTAAAGTCTATGGGCTATTATATGTTGAATTAAAATAGAGGGCAACTAAATCATGTGTGATATTATATTAATTAGAAACAAGAAAGAATTACAAGCTGTGAATCTTTTTTTCCTATATTGTTTTATGTAGTTGTCAATCTACTAATCTCAAAGCTGGCCGTTCAGCCAGCATTTGATTGGTCCAAAGGGCCATATAACTTAACGACACGAGCAACATGATAAAATGATGTGTTCTGTGTAGCGATCCAATGCATTGCCGAGTAAGTACGTAGATAAGTAGTCATGCCCTTCTGGATCTCTCGCGTATGCGTGCCTTGGCCAATACACCCACTCGACCAGACCCAGTCACCACACAAGCACGCAGCCCCCTCTGGACGGTTAAGGGCAATAACTACAAGTCTCTATACGTTGTCCCTAAATTTACCACATAGGATTAGGTGATAAGGTGAAGAAGAGAATTTAAGAGAGAGAATGAACTAACTCTCATGTAAGAGGCAACCTCCACACAATCCCCAAGAAAAATGCAAGATGATGTGAGAGTAAACTAATATTTGAGTTTGTGTATTAGATGTGGTATGTTGTATGTGTTGCCTCTTAATTAATGAGAAGATGACATGGCTTAAATTTGATGTGGCATTCACCTCCATTATAAAACTTGCCCTAATTAGCCACACTAATTAACCAATGGTTGGCAGTGAATACATTAATTAGATGGAGCACATGGATGTGTTGTGACTGTGAGCTGAACCAGTTGCATCCATACAACTATGAGGAGTTGGAATGCAGTGCAAAATCTATGCGGCAATCTTAAACTTACAAGAAGGATTGGATTCATATTATTTTTCCAGTTATTACTGATATAGTGTACTACGAAAGATATTAATGATCAGAACTCAGGCTGTGTTTAGATCCAAAGTTTAGATCCAAACTTCAGTCCTTTTCCATCACATCAGCTTGTCATACACACACAACTTTTTAGTCACATCATCTCCAATTTCAACCAAAATCCAAACTTTACGCTGAACTAAACACAGCTTCAGGATGAATATCATTTTATACTCTGATACCCCATCCGTCTTAAAATGGAAATAATATATTTAAGTAACAAACAATAAAACTTAGTGTATAAAAAGAGTAGCAAGTATTAAAAAATAAAAATGAAATATATATATTTTTCTATCCACAAATTTTATTATTTTAAAGGAAATTTAATGTACAAAAGAGTAGCAAGTATTAAAAACAATTAAGAATGAAAAATGGAAAAAAATAGTTTTTGCTAATTCACAAACTTTACTATTTTTAAAGAAAAGGCAGTGAAAAATATTTCTAAGTGACTATGTTAAAATTCAAAAATAGGTAACCTAACCATGTTGATATCCCATATCTATAAAAAAAACTGAAACAATAAATAGCAACTATAAGCATAACAAAAAACATTTCTCATCATTTTACAAATTATAAAAGCTTTTATTCAATACCCTTAAATTTACTAAAGCAAGATAGAATATTTATAAAATACACTTTTATATCCTTATAATACAATCTTCACCGGTTTGTTAGTAGCATGCATTACTACCATGTTTTGGTATTCTTTTTCTCAATAGTCTACAAGTACAGAACTGAAAAAAAAGAATAGTGTTTATCGACATTTATGAGTATTGAACCAATTGCTATAAGAAAATCTCGCACTGATAAATAAGATTTAAATAGTATTCACATGCTCCATTATAAAAAAATATACATGGGTTAAATTACCAAGCGTGCCAATAGGCGCTCCAATTTTCTAGTATATATAATAAATAGAAATAAGTGTGAATATTTGCGGCACACCACTATATACATAGCATGCGTTAGTCATCCTGTAAAAAATATTTTTTTTGTTTTAAGCAATACTTTATGGGCCAGCCGGCCAGGTATAATATGTATCACTTTCATCAAATTTATCAACTTTATATGCACTTCATATGAAAGTGGTAACTTTTCTGGAATTATTTCAAGTTATTGCTGTTTTATAAAAATAACTTTATTCCTTGGCACAATCCCAAATCATTGACACTTCATTCACAACCACTCTAATATTTTGCAAGACTAAGGTTGTGATGGTAATATTGTTTTGCCTAGGCTTAACGGACGCACGTAAAATGAAACATACCATTAGCTTATGATTATTTAAGTATTAACCATAATAACATTTAGAACAAATTTATTTGATTTTTCCAAAATAAAAAACATATTTATAGAAATCTTTTGCAAGAAACAGATCGTTTAGCAGTTTAAAAGGTCTGCTCGCGATAAGTCACTAGCCAGTAACTGAAAATAACTAAGCCTAAGAGTGAGGACCTATTTGTTTTGGTAAAATGTGGCTAGACATCACTAAAGCGTGTCGTCACTGTCGACAAATGTAGCAATGTTTGGGTTAGAAATGTGCCTATGCCATCTTGACCAACGAGTTAGTATAGTATGTGGCTTGTGACAATCATAATAACGAACCAAATACTGGCTTGCCAAGTATGTGGTTAACAACGTGTAACATAGTACCAATCATTTAGGGTGGCAAGACGTGGCAACAAACCAAACAAGCCATCCAGCTCCAGGTGAGTTATTCTGCTCTTGCCTCAAGCCCACAATCCAAGTTCGCACTTGATCTTTGATCTTTGGAAAGGCCATCATCGGGAGACTGGACATGATCCAACCTCTCGCTTTTTCTCTTCCCGCTACAGCCACCAGGGCAAGCAGCACCGCCCCTGTCCAGGCTGATTTCGCATGGGTTGCTGATGATGGTCCTCGACCTATCATCCGGCTGGGATTATTACATGATTATTAAGTAATAGCTAATTTTTTTTAAAAAATAGATTAATTTGATTTTTTAAGCAACTTTCGTACAGAAATCTTTTTATAAAAAACGTATCGTTTAACAGTTTAAAAGGCGTACGTGCGGAAAACGAGGAAGAGGGGTTGGGAACTCAAAGGAAAGACACAGCCGGGTTGGGAACTTGTTGCTGTCACCCTACTCCCTGATGAATCCTCTTGTCCAGGTTTTTGCATGGAGTAGGAAGTAGGAACTATCATATCAACCTAGCCTACTAGTTTCTCAGGCATCAGTAGCCCAGTAGTGGATGCACGAACGAATTTTACCTGTTGGGGGTGAGAAGCTAGAACCGGGCAGGGGGGGGAAGGAAGGACCAGCAACAAGTGGACGGATGATATGGAGGCTGATGGAACCGATCGTCCGGAGGCAACTTGCAAGCAATGCTACATTTGCTCCCGCAGTTGCGTTGCACGACGTACTACATATGTAACCAGAAAAATGCCACGACGATGCAGATCGATATATAGTCAGGCAGCATTAGCGTGGTCGAGTCCCCAACGCTCGGCATTGCCTCATCAGTTAATCCGCACTCGCCTTTTTGTTAGCGGGACACGCATGCGCTGTGTGTGTGTGTGCTCCCTTCGATCGGGCACGAGCTGTGTGCGGTGGCATGGGCGCATGGCAGCGACTGGTCGAAACGCGGCCGCACGACGGACACGCCGCTCGATCCCCCGCGCGGCTGCCGTGCTCCCCCTCTCGTCTGGATCACCGGCGGCGTGGGCGGCTCTCTTCCACGAGGCATGAGCTCGGTTTTTTTTTTCCCTCTGCTCGCGACGGAGAGGGAAAAGGCTGCTGCTTCTTATTCTTATTCCCTGGAGCGATCAGCTTTTTCTCCGCCCCCCGGAGGTGAAAACAAAGCAACGAATGGAACCATGGAAACGAAGTGAAGGAGCGTGCCTTCGCAATCATGGCCTGAGGCCCTGAGCGGCTGAGCCCCTGAGGCCTCCTGAGTATATATAAACCAAGCATGGTTTGCCTCCTGCATTGCCCGTGTGAATGCCAATGATACAGAGCCCCCCAAGAGCAGAGCAAGCGCGAGAACACACACCAACAACGCAACAAACCACCAGGCGTGCGCGTGCAAGCGCAAGGCTTGAAACGGAGAGACACGAAAAGCGCCAAGGTGTTCGCCCATCATTATAATCAGCTTATAAGGGCGCGAGCGAAACCGCACAGTTGTACACTTGGACTCGCAAACTAGACTCTCCGTCTCCTTGCGCTGCGCGTTATATCGGCTCTGCCTATATAAGTGTGCTGAGGCGACTGGGGCTCGGTGAGTGTTTTGGGTGGGCCGGCTTTATGAGCAGTCTCGGTTTGAAGATCCGCACCGTCGTCCGCTCACCTATGGCGGCCGCGGCCGTCGCTGGCGTCGGAAGGGATGGTAGCTTCGCCTCCCAGAAGCGGCCACGTCGGGTTAGTGTGAGAATGGAGAGAAGCAGAGTCGGGGACGGTTGCTGCTGCTCCTGCTCTGGCCGCGGCGGGGTGGCGTCCACTACGGCGGTCCGGCCGTCCACGGGGATGGTGGTGATCGTCGGCGCCACGGGCACGGGGAAGACCAAGCTTTCCATCGACGCGGCGCAGGAGCTCGCCGGCGAGGTGGTGAACGCTGACAAGATTCAGCTGTACGACGGCCTCGACGTCACCACGAACAAGGTGTCGCTCGCCGACCGCCGGGGCGTCCCGCACCACCTCCTCGGCGCAATCCGCGCCGAGGCCGGGGAGCTGCCGCCGTCGTCGTTCCGCTCGCTCGCCGCCGCCGCCGCGGCCGGCATCGCGTCGCGCGGGCGCGTGCCGGTCGTGGCCGGCGGGTCCAACTCGCTCATCCACGCGCTCCTCGCTGACCCCATCGATGCCGCGCCGCGTGACCCTTTCGCGGACGCCGATGTCGGGTACCGGCCGGCGCTCCGGTTCCCGTGCTGCCTCCTCTGGGTCGACGTCGACGACGATGTTCTCGACGAATACCTCGACCGGCGCGTGGACGACATGGTCGGCGAGGGGATGGTCGAGGAGCTCGAGGAATACTTCGCGACGACGTCGGCCTCGGAGCGGGCCTCGCACGCCGGGCTGGGCAAGGCCATCGGCGTGCCGGAGCTCGGCGACTACTTCGCCGGGCGCAAGAGCCTCGACGCGGCGATAGACGAGATCAAGGCCAACACGCGGGTCCTCGCGGCCCGCCAGGTCGGCAAGATCCGACGCATGGCCGACGTTTGGGGCTGGCCCATCCGCCGCCTCGACGCCACGGCCACCATCCGGGCGCGGCTCTCCGGCGCCGGCCGCGCCGCCGAGGCCGCCGCGTGGGAGCGCGACGTGCGCGGGCCAGGCCTCGCCGCGATGCGTCAGTTCGTCGGCCGCGCCGACTTCAACGCCGCAGCGGTCGACCAGCTAGCCGCGCGGAGTCGGAGGCAATGCCTTCGCGGTGGCATGGTGGCCGGCTGAGCCCGAGCGGAGGAAAAAAAAAAAAGCTTGCGTGCTTTTGGGTTCAAAATTTTTCGATAGGCCGCCGATTTTGGCGGGCCCGATGGCTCATCTGACACAGGTCGGTGGGGCCACAGGACATGCTACAGCGAAAGACAGAGCACAATACAGAGCAAGCAGGAACAAGAAATAGAGAGAAAAGGCAGAGAGCTGTGAAGTTTTGCAGAGAGGACTGTGAATTCCTTCTCCCTGGCCTGGAGGCTGCTTAATCTTCTTTTGGATTCATCAACCTTTTTCCTAGCTAGCCACCATTGTATACAGTGTAATCTACTGCTCCCCCTTGTTCAAATTTTGAAATAGTTTTACATTTTCAACCTGACCTTGAGGAGGATATTACAGGATTCATCACCATGCACCAGATGCACTTGGTTTTCTGCTCGGCCTTTTTCGTTTTTGTCTCCATGTGTAATCGGGGCATGCTTTGCATCTCTGAACCCTGTGCTTTTGACCATTGCGTTGGTTATCTGTTGATCGCTTGGAACTCGATTCTTTAATTCGATCTGCAGAGTAGTCTAGTTGCATGCACTGGGTTTAGTTGCTTCCCTTGTTGACATGTAGTGGTGGATTCTCTGAAACATTCCAGCTGGTAGCGTGCACTGGAGCCGCTGATTAAGTGCGTAATCTCATGCTTGGTGTGTGATTAAGGGGAGGGGTTTGTGCTGGCCGCGTGAGTTGGTGTCTTTGTACTCTTGTTGTGCCAGCTACCAAGGCAGTTCGAGCCTAGACGTGTGATGCATTCTCATACTCCTGTTTTCCTCTTCATTCTCTCTTTCTCTCACATTCCTTCAGTGTGACTGTTCGATTCGCACGCACCGACATCGCCGGGTTCTTTTTTTCCATTGCCGTGGTATGTTAGAGCAAGTTTAATAGTATAGTCAATGGCTGACTCCAAATCATTTATAGTTAGCTTAATAGCTAATTCATACAATAGTTATCTATAAACATATACTACACAATTAATATCTGGTCCCACCTATCATACACACATGTATTTTATAGTCCGTGCTATAACTGGCTATAAATTTATAGCTCGTTACTCTTCTCTCTTCTCTTTTATCTTTTTGAAATGTGTCTATGGCTGGTTTATAGTCTATACCTGCTCTTAGCTACTGACGATCCTCTCCTGCATGAGTATTTTTGTCTCCTTTTTACACTCACCAAGACACCAACCGTTACACGACTGGTGAGTCGGCTGGGTTTGACGGCCCTGGGTGACGTGGCTGCGTGTGATGTCGTTATTCTATTCTGCAGCCACAACCTGGCTGTGGGTTGGAGATGTTGAGCGAGAAGAAGGCAGAGACTGGCATCCTCTGAGACTTGTTGATGATGTCGCTCGCCTGCGCTCGATTAGGATGTGGCACCATACTGCTAGCTAGTACTGGAGTATTATTCTCTGGAGTAGCCAAGCTGTTTCTCTCATGCGTGTTTACTTAATGCAAACAACTAACCCCCTGCGTGCTGCAAATATAATACTGCTGCTACTACTAACACTGCGTGACTTTCAGATGCCTCCTGCCTCAGCAGGAATTCACATCAGAACAGAAGCCGGCCGCCACCATTGCCATCCCGAACAAACTCCTCGAAACCAAAGCTCCTTTCGGACGAACCGATGACAAGTACTACTATAGAAGCTATACTACCCATCCTACAATATTCCTACACCGTGCGTGCATTTGCATGCACGAGTGTTGACCTGAACAGTTGAAGGCGTGGCACGCAAAAGGATGCAGAGACAACGAGGCCCTGATGATGGCTGCTGGCTCTCGCCATCGCTGGGCCGCCTGGGCGCCGGCCGCTGCTGCGTGCGTCGCGTGCGCGCGGCGACGAGCTGCGCCTGCACCTGCACTAGCTGCCGCACGCGCGGCCCCCTCCGGTGACGAGGAGCTGCGCCTGCATCTGCATGCATGCACTTGCTCCCGCCTCTCGCCCAACCCGCCTTGCCGCCTTGGTAGTTGTTGCGGTTGCTGGTCTCTAGGGCCCTTGAGACGGCAAAGGCCATCATTGACGTTGCCTTGTTTTTGGCGCTCGAGGGGGGTGAGGCTTCTCCTTCTCCAGCTGCGCGTGTCTGTGCATGTACTAGGCCACGGCCAGCATCGTAACAATATACAAGTACTCCACTGTACTGGCCTCTGTTTCGCTTGTCCTCCCAGGGCTCAACCATGGCGCCCAGGCGCTGTCTAACTGTCGCTAATCCTCTTGCTTTGCAGCCCGTTTACTAGTAATTAAGTGCAGCCACTCCTTGCCAAAACCCAGCTCCTTCTCGTTGCCTTCTTAGGATCACGTCTTTCTGGCTAGATTCGAGCTAAATTGGCCCCTTCTTTCGTCGTCTGTCTTGATCACGTATGTGCATCGTGTTTTATTCAGAGTCAAACCGAGACCACAAAGCGTTGGGTTTGCTCCTAATCTTTTAATTTGGCCTGTTCTTGCTCATGCCAACACATTCCTCCAGTTTTGTTTTCATGTACTCTAAACAAGTCTACTCAACGTCTCGACATGCTGGTTATGCTGTACGAAAAGGTGTGCTTAGAACATGATCAACTGATTCTCTCCTCCCCATGGCTGCACTAGATTTATTTCCACTTGGGCTCGTGTGCTGCACTGAGCTGAGGTGCATGAACGCAGCGAATCGAAGCAAGCAGGGTAACGATTTTAAATCTCGCGCCTGTTCTCCTGGGCAGACCCTGCAGCCATGCCTCCTCTCGGCTGCGCCCCCAAAAGCCTCCCCAGATCCATTTCTGCTGGACAGGAATTTAGCCTTTGCTTCCGTGTGTTGTGTACGCATTAGGACAGGGTAGATGATTAACTGCTCCACTTGCTTGCATGGTCAGTGCCTAGATGCTTCTCCTCAAAAAGATCCAATGATGTGTTTTGTGCCCTCTTTCTCGCTTAAACAAGTATGATCCAGCCTGGTCTTTCACTATATAGATATAGTCGGCCTCAGAAAACTCCTCAATACTCTTCTCAGAAAACAGATCGTCTAACTGATACTGATACATTCGGTTCTTTGTCTATTAAGTTATTCCATCCAACCTCGTGTCATAGGCTGACTATTCGTCAGATTCAGACACTTCTTTATGCCTTGAGTAAAGATCTATAGCCACTGATCTCATCACTCCTCCCATTTCCTATATAGAAAATGTCATTTTCTTAGTTAGAAGGTCAAACAACGAATTGTTCTGACCTACAGGCATAGTTTAAGTTTGGTAAACGATTACAAAATACAACGAATTAGTCCAACCATACCCCCCCCCCCCCAAAAAAAAAGAAGTAAAGTTTTCATGTACAGAAACAAAATTGCACATTACGCCGTTTGGGCTTAGCAATGTGCGAGGGGCTACAAGTTTTTTTTTCGGGAATACGCTAGGAGCATATTTTTGTATTAAGAGGAATAAAAGCTATTTACAAGTCAAATACTAGATTAAAGGGGACGGGGTACCAGAGTGCAACAGGACTTATGCTACAATCTCACAACCGATTAGGATGGCCTAGGGACTCTTCAAACTAGAGACCAAGCGCCGGTACGGCCGCCTTTGCCAGACGCCATAGCTCTGCCTCAGCGTATTTAAATGTTAGCAAAGCAAACACATAAAAAAAAAACTTAGACCATAATATTACTATGCGCCAGACCACACCAGTATTTAAATATTTGGTTGGATATGCATTTTTTTGGGCTACAAACAAAGAAACAACCCACAATGTATATATGCTAGCAAACGTACAGTAGTATATCTGCAGGGACATCTCTGTCCTAACTGAAACACGGTTTGTACTCTAATAAAAAAGTTTGGTTATACTCTCCAAGGGTACAGTTTAGAGAAACTGAACATTTCTGAACTCCCATCCACACGACGGTCGGTGCCCAATCTAGTCACTGATCCCTGAAATCGACGGACGCAGCAGACACCCCGACGACACGGCGACGCCAATTGCCTGCAGAAGCTCGACACGCGCAGAGGAGACGACACAACGCGCGGTGCACACTTTACCGTCCTTGGCGCATCTAAAGTCGTTAGCCTCGTCCGCGCAGTGCGTCACTTACTCACTTTTGGGTTTCGCCGGTCACGCATTGCTGCCGCCTGCAACCGCAAGCGTTCGCAAGGCGTGCTACGCCGCCGACACGCGCGCGAACATCTCTACGTCGTCCCTAACCGGCAGGTTTCGCTCGCGCGTCCTGCGTCCTGCCGACCATCACGTCCACATCCACGGTCATGCTCCTTGCTAGTATTTCTTACCTTCCAAGTCCAGTAAAACCGCGAACATTTTCCTAGCGATGTGACTGGAACAGGAGCGAAGCAATGGTAGCAAACTGGCATCGGTGGTTGGGCGTTGGACTTGGTGCAGCCATGACGAACACGACGGCGGCGAGGAGAAGGCCGGGAGGGGCGCGCTCTCTGGCGTGATTGCAACCGCTTGATGGGGTAAAAAAAAAAAGTCGTTTTTCTTGATCCCGGTCTTACGAAACCGGGACCGCTGCCGCTAAGCTCAACACTTTTCTGTCATTCATTCACTCTTCCGGGCTCAGCCGACCTCTTATGTCGCTTTGAATTGTGTGATCCATGTGGTGTTCACAGTTAACTGAAGATTGAGATATTTTACAGATTTTAGAGATACCGAAAGATATCAAAATTGTGTAAATTTTCATATGACCTGGTATCGGAGGTATCAAGATATGCCAAATTTTACGCTACAATAAAATATGATACCTCCTAGTACTTATAAAAAACTGTAAAATCACTCCTGAAGATTAGTTTCTCTAATCCCCGGTAACGCTACAAACCGATACCCCCATAATCTTCAGGCTCTATGTACATTTAGCAGATTAGCTCTGACCTAAATTGTATCAAGTAGATGATACTCGTTGATTTTGGGAGCTGGGTTCGAAATGTTTTCACCTTGCAAGAATTTTTCGTGATCGTATTTGTTTCCGTCGTTCATATTTCGATTACTCCTGCGTGCATAAATACTTGACGATTAGGAGAAAATTCGGTCTAATTTTTAATACTTTGACCATCAATTTAGATTGGAATAAGTTAATAAAATATACTCCATCCATTCTAAAATATAAGCATTTTTGAACCCTTACACGGTCTCCGAGATGTTAATTTGACCAACCGTATCTATAAAGGTAAGATGTTTTAAATAAAAAGAGTTGCATGTTATGATATTTTGTTTAATGATAAATTTAGTGCATCAATTTTATATGATTGATGTTTTTTTTATTTTTTTCTATTAATAGTCAAAGTTAAGAATGTTTGACTTGTCACTATGCTAAAAATGTTTATATTTTGAGACGTAGGGAGTAATAAATTTATGACATTAATACTTTTCAATTCCAATTTACGCATACTTTTTTTTAAAAAAAAAGAAAATAGAC